TGAGAATTATTGACATATGATTTGTTGACATACTCCTTGTCATCTGGGCATTTGTTTTTGTATGATGTATGATAAATTGATATTCATCATACAGGACGTGAGAGATATAATTCCCATATCACTGTTCCCAGCTCATCAAGATAAGAGTTTATGCAAATATACTTCTCATATACATTTCAATTTTCATTTCAATACTGAACATATTGATAAGTTATATTTTTTAAAACATAATACATCAAATTATTTTATCCGATTTGAGAGATAAAGTCAATTTTCAATTTCAGAGGATTTTCATACTTAAGCTCTCTTTTTGGATGTTCAACAGATATAATTCAATGTTCGTCGTGGCTTATAGCCAGGAAAGTAGTTGTTTTCTGTTGAATGAACTGAGAAATAATTGATATTGTCATCGCATAGAGAATGCGAATTCACAATATATTTCTTTATATATATCCATTTTTTCATGTTCATAATCATATCTAAGAATATTCCTTTTCAATACCTTCACCCAATCAGGGGGTTCAAACTTGAACGATGAAAAATTGTTATTTTTATTGACCTCAATCGCATATTCGTGATTCGGTTTTCTTAATTCAGAATTTCTCTCCACGTCCTGTATGATGAATATCAATTTATCATACATCAAAAAAAAATGTTTAACTAGGAAGAAGCCAAATACTCATAGTGGAATGCAATGATCACAATTTTTTTTATTCATCCAATTTTCTGAGTGGCATATAGCCAGGAAGCTAGTTGTTTTTTTCTTGTTATCTACCATTTTTGTTGAATTTATGAACTACTGTGATAATGACTTTGAATTTCTTTCTCTCTGTAATAATATTCATGCCCAGCAGATAATTAAGGGCATGAAATACAATTTTTTCAAAATGAATACTTGTAGTAAATACAAACAACACTAACATATCAGTGACACAGCTGTTACAATCTCTATAGGTAATTGGGGATCAGAATTCCATGAACTTTTTTTTGTATAAACGCAATAATAGATTATTGATGTACATACATAATATTGATCTGTACAATCTTTGATGATCATTGATACGTCGGTATTGTAATATAAAATCAACGTTGAATTGTTTACAATATCTGATTGTGAAATTCTGAGATAATGCGAATAATTGTTTTTCATCTATATATATGATCTAAAACCACTGTTTTCCATCATCCAAATAACCCCTTGGCTGAGATTGCTGGAAATACATGTTCTGAACAATAAGAAGAAATATTGTCGAAATATCTTACCAGATAACAACTACTTTCATAGTTTATATCACAGAAAATTACAATATATAGGTCTAATACATTTTCTCACATAGTTTGAGTTCAGCTAATATCAAACTGTTCGAACCTTTATCGTATATATATGCTCGGTATTACAATCAGTAATGGGGAAATCATGTCCAATTCATTCAAGCAAAAGCTGCTTCACAAAACCTCGAATTCTTGTTCCGAGCTTAAAACTACCTCACACGACAACAGCTTCACATGATCTACGTAGCTCAGATATGGCCAGTTTCAGTATACTGTTCTCATGTATCGAGCCCAGCACCCGAACATACACTGATGCTCTCAGATTCCATCCAGAGAAGAGCCATTCGCCTGGTGGGTGATGCCACACTCACTAACTCGTTGACCTCATTTAGAACACCGTAGAAACGTCGGCAACCATTCACTTTTCTACTTCCACGGGAAATATTCCTCAGAAATATCTTCTATCATTCCACCACTATACATATATCAATCTTAGTCAGACAGACTTGACAAGCCCAGTCAGAACATCTATTCGTTGTCTATCTTGGAATACGTCGAACAACATTTTACCAAAACTCGTTCGTCTGTGGACCGGCCAAGCTTTGGAATTCACAGAAATCTCTGATATAATTCCATCACTAGCAATAATAGTCAAACGAACTCGACAACCCCAGTCAGCACATCCTTTCGTCATTAACCTTTAATTATGTCTTCGGCCACCTGAACAGATATCAGCAAATCGCCCCAACCCAAACACAGAAGTGTCAGTATCAAACGCGTAGTATTTGTGAACCTATTTGAATATTGAGATGGATGAATATAAAGAATCTTTGTATTGAAAATCTGAGAATAAATAAATTAAATAAGTCGAATATACTATTATTTTATCATTTATGGGATACCAATGATTTCACAGTAGACCAACAATGGATTCACTACATACGAAGATAATAATCATATTTATAGATCTGGTTTTTCAAATCACGTCAGCTTAACTTGCTCTTCTCAAATGCTATGAGCGAACGACTATAATAGGAATATGATTGCATGGAACTATAGCGTGGAAAAAAGAAATAAACAAGCTGGATATTCTATACTATCCTGGGAACTGAATAATTGATAAAACACTGTTTCGCCGAATCTATATGAGATGTTCAGAGTTCTGGGAACGTTGAATTCTCAGATTTGAATCAATATTACTCAGAAACAAAGTGCAGTTTGAAAAGCACAGAAAACCATCTCACATCGAAAAAATCTCTAACTCTCATTCAGGGCCTTAATTCTCAAAATCTCATTAAGGTTGATTGATAATTTCATGTCGAATAATATCAGACTCATTACCAACTAAGAAAGTCCAAATTCCTTGTATGCCTGTTTGTTCGCTACAAATTTCATAATCAAATTTCCTGTTTCCGAAAAAGAAAAGTTTAAAAGGGGGCACTTTCAAAGGCGTATCCAGGTCAGGGAAGGGAGTAAAGGGATGGTTGAGTAGAGACATCTATTATATGCATTCTTTCCTAAGTTCAGAAATTAGATTCCACTTCCGAAGTAGGAATGTACTGAGATACAAACAATACTTATGTCGTATCGTATACAGGTTGTTTATCGATTCGAGACATATAGGAGTTTGGCGAATAATGAAATTCAGTTTCAAATTTCGAATTTTCATAGTGGCCACGAACGATCAATGAACTCAATGTAGAATTCACTTCACCATGACTTTTGGTAAATAGATGAATTTTTAGACCGATCAGAACGATTCTAGCTGTGGCGTTCAGTTCCAATTTCATTCGAACTCGAACTATCCATTCACTCATTGGAATCAGAGGAAGATGAAGATACAGAGGAAATGGAAGCAATAATGACATGACAACATATTTTTCTTACTATTTAAGACGGTCCACTGTAGAAGTTTCAAAGAGATTGGGAGTTTTTGAAAACCAATTTAATGCTATATCAAAACTGTTTCTGGATTCACAGCAACAAACATACTTTCTTTTCAGGAATGCTGGAGATTATATACTGATCACAAATCTTAACATTGTTTAGATTTTTAGGAACAAGTCGAAAGAATAAGAGGCAATGCAACATTTATATTCAGCAATTTATATAGCTGGTGTAGGTGGGTGGACGTCCAAGAAAATTAAATACTGTTGTCAAAGCAACAAGGAAACCAGCATTTTCAATGATGATGCAACAATGATACATCAAGGTGTGACACTTTGTTAGTGCGATGTTCCACGAACATTATAGGAATTTCCTTTCGTGCGCTTCAAGAGATGAAATAAATAAATATGATGAATGGCGCAATGTGTTGTGGGAAATAATTACATTGTTGCGACAGAGATAACGCGGTTCAAATCAGACTACCACCTCTCTTCTCTCAAAAGATTCGAATTCAAATCGAATTTGCCGCCATAGCTGTAATCGTTCTGATTTGTCTAAGAATGCATTTATACAGGAAGTCATGGTAAAGTGAATTGACGAATTCACATGCCCCACATGTAACGATTCGATAAACAACCTGTATAAGTTGCATTGGATTGATCACGGTATATGTCGTTACGCATTCACATGCCCCACATGTAACGATTCTGCAAACAACCTGTATAAGTTGCATTGGATTGATCACGGTATATGTCGTTACGCATCCACATGCCCCACATGTAACGACTCGATAAACAACCTGTATATGTTGCATTGGATTGATCGCGGTCTATGTCTTTACCCATGCACATGCCCCACATGTAACGATTCTATAAAAGACCTGTATTAGTTGCATTGAATTGATAACAGTATATGTCGTTACGCATTCACATGCCCCACATGTAACGACTCGATAAGTTGCATTGGATTGATCGCGGTATATGTCGTTACCCATTCACATGCCCCACATGTAACGATTCTATAAACAACCTGTATATATAAGTTGCATTGGATTGATCGCGGTATATGTCGTTACGCATTCACATGCCCCACATCTAAATATACTATAAACAACCTGTATAAGTTGCATCGGATTGATCGCGGTATATGTCGTTACGCATTAACATGCCCCACATATAACGATTCTATAAACAACCTGTATAAGTTGCATTGGATTGATCACGGTATATGTTATACGCGTTGTCCCGCGTTTTTCATGCTATGAAATGAAATATGACATATTTGAAAATTGTACAGAGTTTCGAAGAAAAAACTTGTATTCTTCGAAATAATGAGATTCAAAATGCTCATTATCATAGATTTCCATTAGGTAACGACATAGTAGGTGAATTCGAAACCGTTTTTCTGTTTGGAGGCTTGAAAAATCTGCAATGTTCTGAATCCTTTGGCGCAGTCTAAGATACAATATCATTGAATTTAGGCACATCTCCTTGAATTGGCGACATAATCAACTATGATACCAAGTGGTAGGATTATAATCGATAACATCAATAATATGCTGTTGGAACGAAGTTCAGAATGAGATCTTGTGCCATCATTCTTATCATCTTGGTAGATTGACATCGATTGATTCCTTCAAGGTGTTCCCCTCCACAACCATGCAAATACTTCAATATTGCAAATATGATTATGATTTTGTTTATCAATCTCAGATAAAAGCACTATATCTCGATCTATTGTTTTAGATAGATCAAAAACGAAAACTACCTCAAGTTTACTTGCAATACTGGTGTTCCCAAGACGTAGACAAGCACTGCATGTGAAGAAAGTTAGCCTCAAGAATGAAGTATTTGGTGATTGTGCTCCTCATTGGTTTCAGTTTATTGGTAGATGTTGAATCCTCTGTCATCGGTAAGTGAATATAATTTATAGATGATCATTCGTTCAAGAAGTTGAAATGATATACGTATAACCGAAAAATCTCGAGCAACAGATGGTTCTTGACTTTCAAGGTGATTCTGAATATGTTTAATTGATCATTCCACTTTAAGACCATTTATTCAAGAATACCTAATAGATTGTTTTGATGCTACAATAATTCGCATTCGACCACGTTCGGCACCAATAAGGACACCACCACAAACTACAGGGTGTTTCATTGGGAAAGGTGAATAATTCAACTGTGGATAGGGGTCCCTGAGGTGATTCCACAAACTCCATGGTTAATGGGTCTTCCACATCTTATAACCGTGATACGGGATGTTTCATAAAATTTGCCCATATATCGTTATTGTCTCATAACTCTCTAACCAACCTGTATATTTGTTCAGAAATATGTAAACTTACTCAATTCATCTTGCCAAATTGATTGAGGCATCAACAAAAGATAGAATCCAGGTCCGGCTTCACTTAAAATTCATAAATTCTTTCTGCTCGAAAACAGCACCCTATACATTTGAATTTCTCAATTTTTGGCCATATCTGAGGAGAGCATCGAAATGTCTATTCAACGATTCACTTTTTATTCATGCACAGACGAATTTTATTACTAATATTCGTGGATAATAGTACCCTCCATACCGCCTTCTCTTCCAGGGCTCCAATACCAGCCAGGCAAATCAGAAACGAATGAGGGAGAAATGTAGACAACATGAATATGGACTCGGCAACAATTCTCGAATGGGGATCCAATAACTTGGTAGATTTCAATGCAAACAAAACACAAGCATGAGTTTTCTCTAGCAAAGCTGATCTCACTGTGCCCAAGCTTGTCAGGAGTAACCATTCCTTTGGAGACATCCATTCCCATGCTCGGTATTACTATCAGCAATAACCTTTCTTGGGAAAATCACGTGAGATCAATTGCTAAAAGTGCATTCCCAAAAACTTGTTTTTTCTGTTTCGGGCCAGGAGCTATTTCATACTTTCAATCAGCTGCTTATGATCTATAAGGCACAGATTCCACCTGTCCTGGAATACTGGTCCCATATTTGGAGTGCAGCACCCAAACATACCCTGAAACTGTTGGATCCTGTCCAAAAAAGGGCAATTCGTCCCGTGGGTGATGCCTCGCTCACAAACTCACTCACTTCTCTGGAACACCGTGGAAAAGTTGGCGATCTGACTCTATTTTATAGATATTGTCATGGACGATGCTCTTCTGAAATATCAACAATTTTACCTCCCTTGGCAGTCCCCGCGAGATTAACCCGTCGAGTTGGGGCTTCGCACCTCTTCGTGGTCACTTTGGAGACCTGCAGAACATCTCTTTCCCAAGACTCTGTCATCCAAAGAACAGCGAAGCTCTGGAACACATTGCAAAGGGAGGTGTTCCCGGAGGCATATAACCTCCATATATTCATAATTCCAGATTTATTGGGATTTTCTCTCTTTGTTTCTACAAAATGAAATTATGAGTATTATATTTCAATATACGAGTATGTATGTATGTATGTATGTATGTCACTGCGTTTAAAAATTTTCCTATTCGTTCCTGAAACGTCCATCAAAGATGAGTGTGGCAATCTGATGATTTCTCTATAGTCTATATATTCCCAAACCTTTTTTCCTACAAATTGTCACTGACAAGCGAATGAATTTTTCTTTTAGGGCTTCTGAAAGGCAAATTTATGAAAGCAGTGACTTGTTTTTCATCACTACACGTACTTATATTGAAATAATACTCATATTTTCATTTTATAGAAACGAGTAGAGAAATTCCCAAAGAAACAGGAATCATTAATTAGGTTGAAATAAGTATACCGACTTTATGGATTCGAATGTCACATCGGTCATATCAAATATACTAACTGATAAAAATACTGAAAATACGAAGGATCCGGAACCTATCCCAATTATGTTTTTGAGTACAATAATTGTTCAATATTGTTCAACTAACAATAGCACAGGAAACTTGTTCTTGATAATTATAATCCTGATGCAAAATATATTACTGAATGAAAAAAAAGTCAAATGGATATTTACCTCAATGTAAATGGTTAATTTTCATCGAATTATTCATATATTATGCTCATTCCTCTGTTACCTAGAATTAAACAAATCTAGATAAACAATATAAATCAGATTGAATAAATGATATAAAATGATTAAGTGATGCCTGACTTTATAATTTCCGCGATATCATAGATACATCAGATTGAAATTCATTATATTTCTTGATCATCACAATTTTTGATCGATGTTCATAGATAACAAAAAATATCAATGACATTTTGATAACGCACTCTTCTAACATTTATAGATTGAATCTCCAATTGTTTATGCATATTCAATAATTGACGTAAATGATAATTATACTCTTAAGTGGCAAAATTAATTGATTCTTCGACGTAAATATATTGCGATTTGGATTCACATACAGGGTATTCCTTAACGACATGCTGATATACAGCAGTGGCGGCTCCTCAGAGGAGGCAACGGAGGCTGAGCCTCCTCAGAGATTTTCCTTAAACCGATATTATCTATACTTTCACATTAAAAGGACACCAAAATACATGGATTTTGATTTTATTTCCTGGTTTTAGGTAAATATTTTTGAATTGGCAACAGTGCTTGCCCACGCATCACACGTTGAAATCTGCAAATCACACGTAAAATATTCAACTTGGCAACATCTATAGGAGTCTAGACTCCTTCACAACGCGCAACCCACGCGCGCAATGCATATTCCCGAACACGCCCGAACCGAATAGCACGTGTTTGTCGTGTCGCGTCGCGAATTGAGGACAATCCAGTGCGAATGCATTGTTTATGTTAGGTAAAAGGTTAGGGGCTCTATGAATTTCTGAAAAATGAGTGTTTTAAAAGATTGCAATTTAGTGGAATACTTTTTGGTGAACCCATTCAGTGCTTTGTCTTATGAAGATAAATTGATTGTGAAAAACAAACGTCCGACACCGTAATTAAAAAATATGATTGTAACAGGTAACAAACAAAATCGTTCGTTCAATTTTAAAAAATATATATCTGGCTGATGGGATCTGAGCTAAGGAATAAGCTATTTTGTTGGTACTGCGAATTATTTTTAACCGATAAGTCATCATGTTGGGGGCGATTATTAGGATATAATGATTTGAAAAATTTGCCTTGCGGATTGGATAGACATTGCAAATCACAAAAACACATTCCTTCAAGTATAAGTTTAGGTTAACTGGTAAACAGAATGTCATTAAAGCTATTGATTTGGGTGAGTCGTAGAGAGTTGTTTTTCACAATAAATCTCATATCATTCAGCCTCCTCTGTCATGAAATTCACGAGCCGCCACTGATATACAGTGTACCAAGATAAGGATGAACGTTTTTAAAAACTTTACAAACGATGAGATTTCCACAAAATTCTTAAACACACGACATGTTTCGCTAACACAGTAGCTTCGTCAGGTGATATACTGGTACGATGAACTAAACTAACCTTGGCTTGCTTATATACAGTGTGTGCGATTTCAACCCGCAACACCCTTCTAATTCGGAACCCGTCGACCGATTTTCAGAATCGAAAATTCTATAATATGGAATATGCGACTCAACGAGCTCTAATAAAAAATGTGGACAAATTTGAAATATTCAGATTTTCAAGGCCTACTTTTGTTTGTTGAAGAGGTCAAAATTGCAAAAACGACTATTAGGCAATTTTTTTTCGAAACAGTGACTAGCCTATTTCATTCAGGCATAGCTGAAATACTTCCATACGAAATTTGAACGCAAAATCTCATACAGGGTGTTCGTTATTCAATGGCAAATTTTGATATTTTAGATTTTTGGATCAAAATTTGAGGAGTTGGTATAACCGGTGGAGTAGTTATTCAATAGAGGAACTAATCGAATACATAGGTACGAAGTTTCATTTCTGTAACTTCTACAGGAAGATCTCTCTAGATCAACCAAAAATCAATAAAGCTAAAGTTGAAATTCACCATTCTGAAAACTCAAGTAAACCGTATGTCACACACTACACCACACAGTCACTCTGAAAATCATCTTGTTTGATAAAGAGCTGTCGAATATAACACAAATAGAATGGCAGACAAATACTTTCTAAAGACTGCTAGGAGATATACTGATGTTTGATGTGATCATAATAATATACCGATTTTAGAATGAAAATTTGAGATGACAATGAAAATTTTTAAATATAGAGAATATTTCCCCAGATTAGTCACCATTATCTATATCTCCTAGGAAAAAGTCATGGATCATGATGAAAAAAAAATCGATTTCAATTTCATTAATTATTGGTTGACCTAGAGAGATCTTCTTGTAGAAGTTACAGCGATGAAACTTCGTACCTATGTATTCGATGTGTTCCTCTGTTGAATAACTACGTGGTTATATCAACTCCTTAGATTTTGATACAGGGTGAATGGAAAAATCGAAAATATCAAAATTCGCCATTGAATAACTAACACTCTATATAAGATCTTGCGTTCAAATTCCGTATAGGGGTATTTCACCTATACCTGAATGGAATAGGCTAGTCACTATTTCGAAAAAAATTGCCTAATAGTTGTTTTTGAAATCTTGACCCTTTCAACAGACAAAAGTAGGCCTTGAAAATCTGAATAGGTATATCAAATTTGTCCACATTTTAGAATAGAGCTCGTTGAGTGCTATATTATGGAATTTTCTTTTTTGAAAATCGGTTGACGAGTTCCGAATTAGGAGGGTGTTGCGGGTTGAAATCGCACACACTGTATATCCAACTTTCCCAACATGAAGGATTAGTTACCTGCGTACGACGGCGTATTAGCGCCACAATAACCTATGAATTTTTTAATCAGAATCTCAAAATTTTGAGATTTTTTCTCAAAATTTTGAGATTTTTTCTCAAAATAATCCACATTATGGATGCGTGTATTCAGTTACAATACTGCATTTTCAATTATAGAGTTGAAAGTAGGTAGATATCAGAAGTGTGAAGTGCATGATATAGGTGCACTATATAAATTGAAACAACAAAGAAAACGTGAGCGGTCCTAGATTTGATTCTTCGTTTTCCTACTGGATTTGAAATGGACATCCATGGGATATCCATCGAAGGATTTGAAATGATATCTTATGGGCATCCATGATATATTCACAGCAATCACGAATGAGTTCAATCCGCAAGATTGTTTTTCATAGTGTCAATTTCTCTTTTTTGTGTCCGAACATGGATTAAATAACCTTTTGGAAATAGAACTGATTCTTCGTTTTCGTACTGGATTTGAAATGGACATCCATGAGATATCCATTGAAGGATTTGAAATGGATATCCTTCAGTAGATATCTTATGGATATCCATAAGATATTCACAGCAAAAGCTGATGAAAGTGATGGATGTAATTGTCCATAAACGTCAATTTCTTCATTGAGAAAAGAAAGAAGCTCATGATCATTCGTATGAAATTTCCTTCTATACAATCCCAAGGATTTCAATCGTCTTTGTAATGTTCTTCTGCTGATGTCGTTGTTAAGTACTAACGCAAAGCACAACCACTTTATAACTGAATGCAAACATACACAATGTTGTTATCATGTAGGTAACAAATTCGAGAAAAAAATCTCAAAATTTTGAGAAAAAATCTCAAAATTTTGAGAAAAAATCTCAAAATTTTGAGATTCTGATAAAAAAATTAATAGGTTATTGTGGCGCTAATACGCCGTCGTACCTGTGGACAGGTTTGATAAACCTCCATTTTCGGAAATTAGGCACAATATCTACATTAAAATACGGTGAACTGTATCAACTTGAAAGGATTTATAGCAAATACATATTATTACCATTTATTACTTACTAAGAAAACAAATTCAACAGTGCTGAACTATTGAGGTCTAATTGATCATTAAGTAAAATGATCAGAATTTCTGAGTTTGTTGATCTCTAATGATTCATAATGATTGAGTTTCATTCCTTTATTTTCTAAGTGTAGAATTTCGCAATTATCATCAAAACTATGGTTTTCTTCTAATATATGGTTGGCGTATGTTGAATTTGTTTTCTTTCTATGAAAAAGATTTTGGGTAAATTACTGTCTGTGGCTTGTGCTGTGTAATTGCCTTTGTTCGTTCATCAATTATAAACATGCGACAGAAAGTAGTATGGAAAGTATCACCTTCTAATAAAATAATAACGTACTATATTTCTTAATGTTCATCATACAAAATTATGATCAATATCAATTCAATAGGTAGTACACAGATTTGATATTGTATGTGAAGTAAACATAATTATATTGTAATCATATACAGGGTATCTGTAGAAGGTCTTTACAAAAACATACCACATATTCCCTAGACCAATATAAGTCGATTTAGGAAGAATCACTTTAGTACAAAGTTGCATTGTTTAGGCTCCAGAGGGCCTTGAAGTTACAATTTTTAAATCGTTTTTCCCATATAAATTTAAAACGGCATAATATATGCGATTTTGCTGAAATTTGATACATTGATAGAGTTTCATGTGACAAATAAAATGGTGTTAAAATTTTGTCCGATAATAATACATAGGCGTAGAATTTGATTTTTGGAATATTTGCACCTTTAAAAATTCTACGCCAATGGAAGAAAAGGAGTTTGAGCATAAAATTTAGATTGCGCAACTCATTTACTTTAAAAAAGGTACTCTTGATAAGACTTGATTGCTCTCATGGTTTTGACGAAATTTGTATTTTAGTATATAATGCATGTTAGAACATAAACAATAATCATTAAAATACAAACTTTGTCAAATCCATGAGAGTAAATCAAGTATTATCATGGGTATTTTTTGTAGTAAATGAGTACCCAATCCAAATTTCATACTCAAACCCCTTTTCTGACATAATTTTTAAAGGTGCAATAATTTAAAAAATCTAGTTCTACGCCTATGGGAGAAGAGGGGTTTGAGTATAAAATTTGGATTGGGTACTCATTTACAACAAAAAAGTACCCTTGATGACACTCGATCTACTCTCATGGTTTTGACAAAGTTTGTATTTTAATAATTATTGTTTATGTTCTAAAATAACTAAAATGCAAATTTCGTCAAAACTATGAGAGCAATCGAGTCTCATCAGGAGTACCTGTTTTGAAGTAAATGAGATGCGCGATCTGAATTTCATTCCCAAACTCCTTTTCTTCCATTGGCGTAGAATTTTTAAAGGTGCAATTATTTGAAAAATCAACTTCTACGCCTATGCATTATTATAGGCTAAAATTTCAACACCATTTTTTTTTCCACATAAAACTCTATCAATATATCAAATTTCCGCAAAATCGCATATGCCGTTTTGAATTCATATGGGAAAAACGATTTAAAAATTGTAACTTCAAGGCCCTCTGGAAGCCCAAACGGTGCAACTTTGTACTGATATAATTTTACTTAAATCGACTTATTTTGGTCTAGGGAATATGTGGTATGTTTCTGATGATAATCGAGTCAATGGAAAATTATTTTTTTCAGAAGTCATTCCAAAAGACAATGGAACTCAAGCAGCTATCAGCCATCATGAAGAAAATGTTGTGCGAAATAAATCGAATGGGCATCCTCGCCACATAGTTTTCATACCCTTCTTGAGACCTTACAAAAGGTGAGTATTGACTTTCAATATACAGGGTGTATCTCAATAGCACCGGAAAAATTCAAAGGGCGATTCCTTGTGATATTTGAGGAAATAAAGTTCATATGAACATGTGTCGTATTTTGCTTCGTTCTCGAGATACAGGGTGCCAATTCTTCCATGAAAAATCGTTTTTTTTCATTCATTACTCAGTTGTCTTTCCATAAATTTCAATAAAACGTTGTGGTTTTGTTAATACTAATATGAGGCTGCTTCTGGTGCAATGAGATTCGAAATAATGTATCTGTATCTCGGAAACTATTTGCCGTACAGGTTTCGGAAAAAAATATTCAAGATAAGAGTGGCCAAGAAAAATCTCTGGAAATTATTTTCAAGTTTCCAGGGCAGCCGCTAGAGGGCATAATTGCATTGGTCAACTTAAAAAACGGGTTTTTATGAAAATTTGATATATCAAGACATATCAGGAAAACTTTTTTCATGTTTTCGGGTAGATTTCCAATAATTTCGATCAAAAATAATTGCGCTATATGTATAGCTCTTTGAATGAAAGAGGGAGGAAAGGATGAATAATACTCTGGAAAAACTCTTATTACTACAGTTTGGTGTAACGGAATTGAGCGATCTTGGTCTCATTATGAAGGGTTTTTTCAGATCTTTCCGATAAATCACGAATCAAGTCGATTTACATCCCGTGGTGGCCGCTAGATGGCATCGTTTGAAAAATCAGCCGATTTGCCTTTTTTTTTCGAGAATTCCAAATGGAACCATATATTTTTCTTGCTATGATATGAAAGTGAAGTGAACGAGTAGAAAAATGGTGAAAACCGCTAACTGATACCTCTTGAAGAACCGGAAAAATACTCGGCATTATATTAAAATTTAAACTGTTAGCATATGTCAAATGCTTCCTCATTCGTTATCGGCATTTTGACAAATAAGCAATCCACAGTGAAAACTTTCAATGGAACTTCGATTATATTTTGACGTTTCTTTCATTCAAAGACAACTTGCCTTTTCTATACTCACTACTCACATTTCAATTAGCTATGTCATTACTAACAGTCTCCTTCACTATTGTGAGATATAACAGCAGTTTGTGAAACCAAAATAAATGAATTATTGGAATCATAATTTCATAGATACAGGATATTTCTGATGACGATTATTGAAGTTAGATTCCTGTGGTAAATATTTTCATAATAATATTTCGAGTATTTCACCGGTTCCTCAGGATGCATCAATTCGCGGTTTTCATCATTTCTCTTCTTGATTGCTCTACTTTCATATTAGAATAGAATAAATGTATGGTTCCATCTGAAATTTTCGAAAAAAATGGAAAATTGTTTGATTTTTCAAACGATGCCATCTAGCGGCCACCACAGGATTTAAATCGATTTGATTCGTGATTCATCTGGAAGAACCCAAAGAAAGCCTTCATAATGAGACCAAGATCGTTGAATTCCGTTACAACAAACTGTAGTAATGGGAGTTTTTTCAAAGTACTATTCATCTTTTCCTCCCTCTTTCGTTTAAAGAGCTAGTCCAATTTTTTTTGATCGAAATAATTGGAAATCAACTCGAGAACATGAAAAAAGTGTTTTTGATATGTCTTGATATATCCAATTTTCATAAAATCCCGTTTATTGAACTGGCCAATGCCCTCTAGCGGCTGTCCTGGAAACTTCAAAATAATTTCCAGAGATTCCTCTTGGTCACTTTTATCATTCATATTTTTTTTCGAAACCTGTACGGCAAATAGTTTCCAAGATACAGCCGGCGTCCACTCTTATAGTGGTACACCCGGTACACCACCGGTTTTTCTGAGTTTATTCATATTTTTATTGGATTGAAATATTGAAAGAACAACTTTTTCATCACCTGTGTAATTTTTGTATCTAGCTTAATTATTGAGGAAACAATAAAAATTCGATTTGTCTCAATAACCCGAATTAGGATCATTTTGAAATTTTGGGACTTTCTCAGTCTCCAACCATACTGAATTTTGGCACCATTTAATCTCATAAAGGAGGGCTATAAATAAAAACAATAAATACTTTCAACTTCAACATCCTGTGTCTCAAAAACGAAGCAAGTTTGGACACATGTTTGTGTATGTGAACTTTATTTGCTAGAATATCACAAGGAATCACCTCTTGAATTTTTTCGGTGTTATTTAGATACAGAATCTACAAACAATTATTCCCTATCCCTATATTTGTTTTTTAGTAATGATAATAGCTCAAATGATACCTGTGAAGATTCGGATGATGATTTTCCGGAGTTTTTCCTCACAGACAAGCAGATAAAGTATGGAGGTATCATAATAGTCATCCTTATAGGAATCTATGGTTTCACGCTATTAGCAGTTGTGTGCAATTTCTATTTCTTACCATGTGTTGAAACTATCTGCGAAGTAGTACATCTAACACCAGTAAGTATTTGGTATTTCATACAGGGTGATCTATGTATAAGACAGAAAATATTAAGAGTATAAGTCAACCATTCGAGAAAGAGTGTGAAGTTTTGGAGGATGAATCAACCTTGGAGATTTTGATAAACCCTTGAGAGCTAATGAAATCAATTACTTTCTTCAATATCTTATATGATCATGACATCAACAACATTATTGAACAACAGAAAAATGCAGGCGGCTGTCAATTTGTTGTTCTTGCTTGAGGCATGGTCACTTTAATGCCAGTATGCAATAATAATAATTAGATATCTTGTGATATGATATTGACTTATCATGCTCGCTATCCATAAGCGTAGGTAAACATGATCGCATACACACTGATCCTATTCAACATTTTCAACAGTGCATTTTGAGTGTGATGATCGTTCACATAGTGCAATGTTATGTACATAAATTCAATATTGATTTTCTATTTGGCGTCTTTGATGAAGTCATTATGACACCCAATAGCGTATCGAAACTATTAGGACACGTTAAATTTCTTCTTTCAAAGTTGGTAATAGTAACGTCAAACTGTCAGGCACGATTGACACGAACTTTAGTGTGATTAGGGTAAAGCCACCTTAGATTAGGGAATGACCATTCAAATGTTTTTCCATCGTGATTCTAGACAAATCCCATCCTCATTCATCCATGGTTTTCGCTCCACTTACATAATGAAATCTAACTTACTGTTAACTAGGAGCAGAAATATCAAGATATTCCTTGAAATACATGAAATAACTACTGATGACTTCATTCTTACTGTCTTCCTTCACCTCAGGAGAAAGATCCGGTATGGAAGAAGTGTTTCCCAATGTGAATGGTAAACTGAAAGTAACCTCAAAAAGTAATGTCAAATTCACATAGCAATTTGTTTTTTATTGCTAATCTCAGTCAACAGTTGAATCACCAATAATCAATCAACCTATAACCACACTATTGTGAAGATGCATCATATTGGTGAAATTAGCAAGATAGTTGTATCAGAGATAGGTTTCCCAATGTCAAATTCAGGATGAAGGTTGATCTGTTAAATTATAGCAATTTCTGCGTCAAGACAATTTCAACCTAATTGATGCCATTATTGTTATATACCTAATGTAGTTAGGTAGATATTTCAGAAAAATGTTTATAATAGGTGATTGATTATTCCAGGATGTTGCGGCAGCAACATTTATGTCAGTTGCAACTTCTACACCTGAACTTTTTACGAACATCATAGGTACTTTTGTGACCCAATCAGACCTCGGTATTGGTACAATCGTCGGTTCTTCACTATTCAACGGTCTTGGAGTCGCTGCAATTGGAAGTTTGGCAGCACCTCGCGTAAGTTTTAAGCTCATTATTTCTAGTCATACAAATCCATCTTTCAACCATTCGCAAACTCTACATAACATGAGTTGATAACCAACTGCCGATGTCATACTTACTAGTTATATTAATTTGTGTTATTATTGTTGTTAGGACTACCAAGTATCATTTTTGGAATAAGTATTGTTTCAAAGCACGAAAGTCGATCTGTTCGAGGTAACCTGATGGATAGCTGAAGTTCTATTATGTGCTACAGCAATAAAAGCTTCCGCAAATCGGTAATGTCGTCAGTTCAAGATGGGACATCTGAATAGGTATTGGAAATCTAAAGGTTCCTCTCAAGTCCATAAGAACAATCCCAACCCCAATTTTTTTTTAATATACTAGTATGGATTTCAATCATTCCAACCATCTGCTCCACCTTCAATACCCACAACACATCGAAGAGCAACATGTAGGTATCCTATTTGATCTTCCCAGAAGAACATCAGTTTGCATCAGCTACTTCATCATCAATGAATGAATAAATTGAAGATACCGGATACATTTATAATCCGTATAATTTTCGTGCAATCTCCTTCTTCCAACTTATCACCTCAGTTGATATTTTTGTAATACCTGTTTGAAAATGGAATAATACTCTCGATCAGGTTTTTCAGGACTCCTTAGTCGATATTGTATGTAGCACAATCATATATGATATCATCATTCAATTCCCAATGTAAATCAAACAATAAACCCAACCTGTCTCTCGAACATAGAAAGATATGGAAATGGGCATCTAAATCTAGGGTGAAATATAGAAGTGTGTTGATTTGAAAGCAGGGCTAATTTAACGGTTATTGGGAAAGCTAGGTAGTTTTTCATCGGGAGTAAATACATAAGACATGATTTTTTTATCGATAAATACATGTTTAATTATATGAAAGTTCCATTTCCATGACGAACAATCGAGAATCAAGGAAGTGAAAAAATCACGAGAGCTTGCTCGAGCGATTTTTTATACTTCCCTTGATTCGAGATTTTTTGCCAGATGACAACGAAATTTGAATGTAATTTGTAATGTATTTATCTGATACCTGATACATTGTTAAACCATTTAAGTTTGGTTGTAATCGTATTGGATATAGAATTTTTGTCAGATTGGACAAAGGCTTGAGAAGTGTTTAGTTTTTTTTTCATTGCGATTATCATCTGAGATACCATAATGTGGACAATCAATTCGAATCAGCCTGTACAGAATGGTTGGAAGAATGGTCTATTTTTGAAGAAATCTTTAATGATTCAATCAGTTGACGTATGGTCTATTTTTCGAAGCATCCTCGAGTAGGGACCATGCAATTGAAATCATATAATTATCCATAATCAGTGAAACAGAAGGAATGACATTAATCACATCATCATTATTCAATTTCATATACAGGGTGAGTCATAACGTCATGAATATTGGGTCTGAGGGCGACCAAAATATGGCGATATGCCTTAATGGAATATTGCTGTGGAAAAAGATACAGGGCGTTGATTTCATCATCAAGAATCATTCACTTGGCGCCCCTTTGTAACAAACTGTAGAATAATAAATGAAATAATATTTCCTGCACAAAATTATGCGTCTGTGCCGATTTTGATAACACATGATGAATATACAGTGAAATGTTTAGCAGTAGTATCTTTTCCTATCGCCATATTATGGTCAAAACAGAAATTTAAGGAGAACACCAATTCCTACCTTATTTCCCTTGGTTCTCACGATGTTCTCTGAACATAACAGGATATTCCTTTTCGTGGGAACCAGAACATAAAAAAAAACCTCAGCCTATGTCCTAATAGTCATGACTGTATGAGTAGTTTTCAGATATTTTCTCCCCATCATGATTGTTGATTATAATTTTTAATTCAGTAAAAAATATCATTACCACGGGGTCTTATGCCCTTCGGCTGAAGCATCGGGATATGATCTTGGACCGTGGATAATACTAATATTCTTTAGTACCTTGGCGTATGTATGACTATTATTGTTCAATGCGATGTCTTCTATCAATTCGTGCAATCTTAAATACCACGCTGCCATCTAATTGCCATCAGTTTATTTCCTACTGCAGCCGCTGCAGCTTGACTGGTGGCCTGTGACGAGAGATTGCTCCATCTACGTCTGCGCAGTTGCCATCTTGGTGGTCATCACATGGGACGGCGCAATCTTCTGGTACGAAGCGACAATCCTGATGATCGCCTACATAGCCTACTTCACTATCATGTTCTTGAACACGCGCATATCCAACTTTGTGAGGAGCAAATTCGAGAGGAAGAAATCGGACATCAAACCTGAAAGGTACCAGCAGGCAGCAGATGCAAGGTTGTCTATTATATCTGCGTATGGTGCCTACATTGATACTACGACTACTCCGGGGTATGGAGAGGAACATCAGAAAACGCTGGACAAGATAGAAGCAGAGGATCAAGAAAGTACGTAACATTTCTCATAATTCTTGGAGCGCGCCAAAGGAAATTAATATAATGTTCGAAGAACATCGTATCTAGGGAGGATAGGGAGAGGAAGTAGGTATTGGATTTTTTTAACTTTTGGAGGTTATAAGTTCCTTGGGAATACGTCCATTGCGAGAGAATTCCGAAGCTTTGCTGTTCTACAGTTTTGGTGAAGTGTTTGTTCGAAATATCTCGAATGTCATTAGCGCATTCCACAATCAACGGATATAGATCTCAGTAAATGCACAGAAATGTTGAAAGAATGCTGCACTTTCTCCTAAGAATATAGATATACAAACTCTAAAATCGCAATTTTAACTGCAGAGGAATTGGCTAAAGAACTAGAAATTGAACCTAGCCCTAGGCATAAGCTTAGTGCCACATCGACAATTCAATTTGTCAATTCAATTCACGCTGGTGAAACAGCCCGCGACGTGCATATAACTTCTACAGAAAAAAATCAAGGTTTAATTTTGCATTAATTTCAGTTAATGAAATATTTGAAGTTGAATGAGTACTACAAATCTTGGTATTCTTGTACAATATAAAACAGATTTCGAAACAAAAACGACCTGTGTCGTTCACAAAGTTACTATTTTTCAACAATCAATACCTGCACATCTGAATAGCTTCATTTTTATTTTTAGGTAATTTTGAATCTTCCGTAAACGCTGTTTCGTAACTTCTGTATCTGAATCATCATTTCATCACCATCGCTTGTACCTATCCGAAGTATCTATGATATGGAAGATTATTGTGACAATAATAATAAACTTCAATGAGACATTCATAATTACTCAAATTCCAAACATTTTCCAACTCGTGACTCGAATATTTGAGGTTATGTGTATCGCCCGTCGTACAAGCAAAAGCCAGTGGAAATCATTTCTCGACAGAAGTTCGCTCTTGAAATTCTCAGTGGTCGAATTCACCAGAATCGGAGACGAACAAAAAAAATTACAGTGGGATTAATTTGGCTAAATTATTTGCTGGCCGGTTTTTTTTGCCGGTAAGAGTATATTCATAACTTGTCTCATTGTTGCAGAAGCACATCAATCATTGTTTCGAAGACCCGATGGCACTTGGTTCCAAAAATGCATATTCTACTATACGTGGCCTCTGCAATTGATCCTGAAATGCACAATGCCTAATCCGAAGATACATCCGAAATTGTTTCCGATCACATTTATCATGTGTATTGTTTGGATCGGTATCAACTCTTACATAGTGTCGTGGATGATAAGCATCATTGGTAAGTTCAGAATAGTTCAGATACGATATCTAAAGACATCTATATGTTTATAACCAAACAATATTGAGTACAGTCAAGATAGCGCTGATATTTCAGAAGATAACCTCGATATTGTTGTGGTCTCCTGCGTCATATACCTGTATATGTACAGTGTCATTCATAAAGTCGGCATCATATGGAAAAAACTTTTAATAATTATAATTTATTTCGAAATTCGACTTGGGCGTTGAAAACTGAGAAAAATGGACTACTCGGGCGGGATCACGTAACTTTCGCTACATGTTGAAAGTTATACATTGTATTAAATAAATCGCTCAAAATAGGCTTATTTGATCGGATTAGAAAGAAGTGAACTGAGGAAAGTTGATTTTTTTCAAATTTTACATATGTGTGTCGAATATGAACGTTTTATAACAACTTTCAGTTTTTGATATTTTTTCAATGTCTACGAAATGCCTGTATTATTAATAAAAATCAACAGCGACAAAACTATTTCATTCCAGGAGCTTTATCATGCTACTAACTTTCAATCACTAAGTATCAACAAAACTGTGATTTTCTTCAGAAAATAATGATCCTTGCTTCAACTTTCTGTTATGTTTATGATGCCACAGTCATCTATCAGAATATCATCAAACTACTTCACGTATCTAACCAAAGTTCAGGACAGTTTTGTCGAAGTTTCAATCAGAAGAAATAAAAAAATATGAAGAATCAAAAGTTGCAATTGATTGTTTAAATTCGAGACACATGTGTAAAATGGGAATAGAAGCAACTTTTCTTTGTAAACTTTTTGTGAATTTGAACAAATAACCTATTTTCAGGGATTAATTCGAAAAAAATTAACCTTTGACATGTAGCAAGAGTCTCGTGACTCGACCGAGTAGGCCATTTTCCATCATTTTTCAAGGGAAACTTCAAGCCCGAGTCTAATTTCAATATAAATTATCATTAAAAGTTTTTCCATATGACGCCAACTTCATGAATGACACTGTATAGTTTCGTTTGGCTAAAATGAGAAAATTTTTCGTTGATCTGGTAATATGTATATCATTGACGAGTGACCGTTATCGATGATTAATACACTATTTCGTTCTGAAGAAAACTGTAATCAATGAAACTGACCAATGTCAATATACAGGGTGTATCTAAATAGAACCTAGAAAATTCAAGGAGTGTTTCCTTTCCCGTTTTTGAGATACAGGATGTTGAAGTTGGAAGTATTCATTGTTTTTTTATATAATCCCCCTGTATAAGCTTAAAATTTGGAGTCGAATCGAACTTTTATTGTTTCCTCAAAAACTAAGCTAGATCAAGAAGCAAGACAAAAATCACACAGGAGATAAAATAGTTATTTATTATACAAGGGAAAAAAGTAGTAGATTTTAGCTCCAGGTTGTGTTGTCTCCCGACGCGTAGCGGAGGGAGACAACAAACCGTGAGCTAAAATCTAATATTTTTCCCGTGTATAATACACTATTTTTTTCTGTGGCAGAAGAAAGGACGAATCAATATTGAGAAGATATTACATTATTTTGAAATCTGAAAATTATCGACGTGAAATTTTAAGTTTTTAACAGTAGGGACACCGCGTTGTAGGCATCTTTATCATTCATTTGAAGTAATCAAATATCTGATGTCACTTCTGTCAGTCTAATTTTGTGATTTTATTTCAAGAAATTGCGAATTCAGTGGTTATTTAGCAATATACGTAACCGCGAAGTCGAATGGAAGATAAAAGGACTTGCAGTTCTTTCTCGGAGACGGTATTATTGACTCATTTTTCGGAACTATAGCACAACAAAAGCCATCAACAGTGTATATATATATGTGATATATATCCGGGAAAAAAGTACTCACTTTTTTCCCACGGGAAAAAAGTAATTTATGAAAAGTGACATTTTATAACCTGCCAACAGGGATTAAATGCCAAACTTTTTTCCCGTCACAGAAAAAAAGTTGTTATTTCAATAGTTCAATCTGAAAAATATATGGAACTCTGTTCTGTACTGTACAATGACATTCACCATGAATATCGACAAATTTACCCACTGTGACGCTACTGGAAATATTATTTCGAATCTAATTGCACTAGAAGAAGCTCTATTTTACTATTATCAAAACCGCGTTTAATTGAAATTGATGAAAAGACAATTGAGAAATGAATAGAAAAAAGATTTTTCATCAATACCCTGTATCTCAAATACGAAGCAAGTTATATAGGACACAATCATGTTTATATGAACTTTATTTCCTAAAATACGAATCACCCCTTCATTTTTTTCGGTGTTATTTAGAGATACACCCTGTATATTTATGATGATTGATCATCAGTACTTGATTTATGAGTTGATTATCTTTGAATTCACAACAATTAATTAATAGTGATTCATATTATCACCTAAACCATGGCAGAGAGCCTTTGCATCAAGTGAAATCAGTGTTTTATTAAATTGTATAATTGGATTTCGCTGATGATAATGTGTCCATGTATTATCATAGCGGACATAGTTTAATTACAACATACATTATGTTAATATGTTTACATTAACCATCCATCACACTGTTACACCTTTATCGTCAATATATGTATAGAGTCATCTCAATAATGAAATGGTCGATTTTCCACCATGTATCTGGTGAATGAAAGTGAAATATACTTTCTTGATCCAAAACAATAAAAATAATAGGTACCTACTATTTCGCAAAAGTTCTGCTCATTGTTCATATTATATACATAACTGAATCATCAGCTTATTGTGGATGATTTTCATTATTAATTTTCACATGATTTGGGACTAGGGAAGCATAAATTGAATATTTGATTAAAAAAATAATAGCAAATCTCGTGCAATTTATAGAGAACTAAAATGAGTATTTTGTGACTTGATAACGCCAATGAATTCGATATTGTAGTTAGGTTGTCGTTTTGTTTGAATTTGGTCATACTGTTCATCAACTTCATTCAACGCACAGCACATTATTTGTAACGAACACATCTGAAAGGCTGGCGAAATCCAAATATTGGCATGTAACATGGGTATAGTTGCATGTGAAATTTATTACTAGCCCAGTATTACCCATCAGAAACTAAATCCTATTCTATTACATATGTAGGCATCATGCTGTGTGAATTTCAATTGAATCGGGAAATACACAATGAGCCTACTACGTTATTGAGTATATTATTTTTATACTTCCAGTTGAAGATTTGTTTAAAGCGAAAATTCAATATGATCTTGAGAGAAAATTGACTGGATGCTCACACTTTTTTTTTCTACAGGTAGATTGACAAATCTTCCCGATTCAGTGTTGGGAATGACATTCATTGCTGCAGGAGCATGCTTACCAGAATCTATATCCATGACCATCATTGCTAGAAGAGGTAAGTTTTCATACGCCTGACTAAAATCGTCCGATGAAAGCCAATAATATCGTTATTTATGTATAAGGGCCTCAATTACTGATTACGAATATATTCCCGTCCCAAGTTTCTATTTGCTCAATGAGTGTGACAGAGAAAGAAGTTTCGATATTGCGAATGTCAAATTCATTTTGAGCATATATGGAAACTTCTTCGTAATCCTTGAAAAAACCCTATCAAACCTAGTATCGTTGAATTCGTTATGATAATCCCTAACAGATCATGGAATAGAATACAGATATCAAAATTTGGGGTCGTTCTCGGTGAAACCAGGAGTGATAGAAAAAAGTTGTTCCGTCAAGTAATGGGCTATATTTGGTATACTTGCTACCCACCAATTTCCAAAATCCGATCTCGAATGATTCAGAAGTTACGGCACTGGTCGTTTTGTGTGCACTTTGTAAAGATCAGCATGGCGGCCATTTTGAACATTAAGATGAATAAGTTCAGATTTTATAATCACATTTCACCAAATTTTCAATATATCGAGGTAACTAATTGATCATTATTGACGGTTTCATTCCTATATGAGGTACCTTATGATTCATCACGTCACTTATTCCCAAAAATTTGACATCATTATGCATTGTCGTTATATGTCATTATGGTCGTTATTAATGGTTGAATGAATTATTTTTCTATTACTGAAGTAAGGAAGTAAGAGTAATTTCTGTAAAAATCTAAAATGACAGAAAACACGAATGAATACGTCAGCAATTTTCTAATTCATGTACAAGAACACCATCCCGAATTTCATTTGTTCATTTGTAGGAACAAATAATTTGAGGGGGTTAGCCACTTTTGAGAAACACGCTCTACAGCTTGTCTCACTTTAAGCAACGACCCCTCCTCTATATCTCAGCAGAGATGTATAGAAATTTAACTGGTGGGCTCACTCTTCAATTGTTTCGTCATACTAACTCTCGATATGGAACAATTGAAAGCAAGTTTTGGACGTGGGGTTTAGGTATTTGCGATAGAGGCGCCATAATCGGGAAATCGTTCAAAACCTTGATACTGTGAGGGATGAATCTATTTATCCATCAGAACAAAGAATGTATCAACTATTGAAATAGACCAATATCAAAAATGATGATAGGCAGATATGGTAACTGGTATACTCACCTTAGAATTTAGCCACACCAGTTCACGCTAATATTTCAAATCACTGGAATAATACTGTTGTAGAACAGAGATATTTTCTTTTTTCTATGGTGGATTAGGTATTATACACAAAATTTAGAAACTACGGAACACGTCCCTAACGAACACTTGACCCCAATCTCAGAAATAATCATTTTCTCAGCTCAAGAATATTTTTGACATATTGACGTTTCGATCCTTTGATCAGGAATCAGTTCACTGCTCTTATCCAAATCATATACGTATCCAAATATTTATCGGTCGGTAATATGTTTCCTGTGAATATGGATTGTAACCAGGATGAGCTTAGCGAGATTTACCCACGTCAAGTATGTTTATCAAAGGTTTATCAGAGTAGGCGCCATCGAGAAACTTGCAAACGACCTTCAATAGGGAGCAAGCGCACCAGTTGAATTTATATACATCTCTTTCTCAGCTATCAGTCGTGCTATTCTTATCAAATTTGGACGGGTATAAATAATGAATATGATAATTTTTTCAGTGACCAACATCGTTTTGGACAGTCCCGTACCTTCATATTGAAATAAAATTTTTTATGAAATCATATTAGGATTTTTTTTGCAGAAAAACCAAGTTCATATTATTATTTCCCATGCTTCCAAACCTCCATGTGCAGAAAATCACCTCATACCGAATTGACAGTATGGGCTTCGGTTTTCTGCACTTTAAGCCTCGAAAAAATAGTGAATTTGAATCAACTGCAAATTTTAGAACGCTCACTAGATAGAAAATAAAATGAGTTGAAAAAAAAAACAAGTTTTGATTTAAAATTAGATGGTTATTTATGTTCGCAAATATGCTATTTAGAAGGTCCTGTTTTCTTGAAATCCTCCAGAAGTTTATGAATTTTTACACTTGGGAGTTTGAAACAATGAGGATTAATATTATGAGGATAGTATTCCTTTAAACAAATTTCTAATAAGATGTCATAAAAAAATTCCCTTTTTCATTTTAATAAAAAGCACGACACTGTTCAAAATGATGCTTGTTTCTGAAAAACTGATGATATTGATGATTATTCATACCGCACCGAGAAAAATCCAGTTAAAATACAAGTCTCTATTCAAAAAAATCGTATAATTGCTAATTTCACCACTAAATGTTAGCTGATGGACGTCACAAGTCAACGTTTTCAACTTGATACAAATCACCAAATCAGAACAATCTCCTCGTTTCAAAAAGCTCACCTTTCAAATTTGATATACGACAAGATTATATATTTGAAGATGAAATTTAATAAATAATCATTTAAGGCCTAGAAGATGTCTCTTCACGGTTAAACAGGTGACATTCAATTTTATCCCTACTTTTATGTAACCATCTTTGTCATACACGTATGCCTCAATGATTCATCTCATTCACCATGTGACCTCTTGTTGAGTTTGGTCAATCGTCATCGCATTCCTGATGTGCTGTACAGGGTGATATTATTCTTTTCCGAAAAAGTGAAGTGGTGGTTTTAAGAATATCAAGGACATTTTTGTTTATATAACCCCCCAAGTAGGATTTGTTGAGGAATTGAACTGCATCAGAGCATTATATAGTGTTTTCACGTTATATTGGTGATCCTCTCAATTTGGATCGATTTTACTATGGCACAAGCTTACATCACCGTAACAGATTATATTGCGTATAATATATATATATATATATAATCTTTCTTCGATTCGAGTAATTAAATATACCCAACAGTTTCTGAGAAGAAACGGTTAGCAGTGAAATTCGTTTCTGCCAAACTTCATTTTTCTGGAAAAATCTATTGAATTGAGATCAAATTATATTAACTTCAGTATTATTTCAATTTTATAATATTACTATTTAATATTTCATCATTTAACTATCACATTCATAACAAGTAATATTGAAAAGGAAGAACGAAAGCTCCTTCTTCCTTTTGAATAATTCCTGTCCACTCTAAGCAAACATGGACTTCTACCAGAGGTTAAGTAATATTGATATGAATATTCCTTCATTTTTATAATATCATCGTATACGCTTGAGATGCTAGTCATCTAATTCGTCATTGCATTCTCATATGAGTGGTGTTTCAAAGTTATATGTTATTTTTGAAAGGACGAAACTGATAACAGTGAAAAGGGAACTATGCTGATGGCGTCGTATCAATGGGTTGCGTGCAAGAAATGTCAGATGACCGACCTTGGAGGTGAAACATTGAAACAGAACCTTACTTTTCCTATTTGTTTACAAATGATTGAAATAGTTTTTCACAATTATTCTGGCATACGAATCGTGTTTTTCGGCTAGTCATCAATTCACGCATGTGCAGCGAGAGACGAAGGAATTCCGTTGGTATATATTATGATTTAAAAGTAAGTACCCACAATAGTTACTCACATATAGTTTTCATTTTGAAATTTGGTAATCCATCTGATTTCTCATCGAAATGCCTTCTGCAATATGAGCTAAGAGAAATACTCATGAAATTTGTAAAATAATGCGAGAAAATTGGAGTCATGCGATCAAACGGGAGGACTGGTCTGACATGCTGACGAAATATGATCTGGGTGTTGTAGTAATTCTCAATCTATTAGCACTATTTGCTTCTATTGCAGAAGTGGCAGAAGGAATTTCAATAAGAAATGACAAAGATTACTATCTACCTGAAAAATCATATTCCTTCGTCTCTATCTGCATTTTTTGTGCATTGTACAAAAGCACAATTGGAAGGCATGCTTGAATTAATGAATAGCGTAAAAAAGACGATTCGTATGCCAGAATATCGTGAAAAACTATTTCAATCCTTTGATACCAATGTAAACAAATAAAAAAAGTGAGGTTGTGTTTCAATGTTTTACAGAAAAGTTAGGTTGTGTTTCAATGTTCTACCACCAAGGTCGGTTGGTACTTTGAAGATTATACAATTTCGTATAATTGCTTATAGATATTTTTCTCGGTGCCGTTCAAATTTGGTGAAAATTGCACGACTAATAGCTGAGATATAGAGGGGGACCGTTTGAAGTGAGACAAGCGTACCTATATCAGATGCTATAGACACTGTATCTATGACCAACATCTTACGATTTCGACAGGTGAAGGCGCATTCGGAGTATCCAACTCCTTGGGAGCCAACTCCATGAACATACTCTACTCTCTGGGCATGCCGTGGTTCTTCAAGACACTCGCCAACGGGGCCTCCAAAAACTCCCCCGTTGTCATCCAATCGGGATCCATAGAATACACCATCCTCGCCCTAATCTTCGTGGCCGTGTCTTTGTACACCACTTTGGCGTGCAACGGATTCAGATTATCGAAGAGAACCGGAGTAATACTCATCGTCATCTACATCACCATGGTGGTGTTGTCGGTAGTGTCGGAAATGCTGTTCCTTGGTGACACTAAAAAGTGCTAGCGTTTGGATCATGTGATCGTAAAGGTTCAATCACGTGAAGGCAGTAGCAGTGGCAGTGGCAGTTGTGTCAACTACAGTATTTGACTGATTCGCCAATAATGAGAGACTTCCATAGACCAACTCCGCTTCAAGTTTCCAACCTAAAAACCTCTACCAATGTATAGTTCGACGCGCCAAAGAAATCTGGGGATGAAAGGAAGAGGATGAAGACGTTCAATCCGCTGCGAGCCTAGAATCTAAACAATTTGGTTCTGTAGATTACGTCGGTTTGATCAAGTCACAAACGATATGGCTGACTGTGATTTGGAACTGATATCACCCTTTCTAGCGTGCGCTGAGGCATTGTCGATCTAAATGAAAACCAAGTAGGTGACCTAGTACGCGAGGAGGTACAATGAGCTCTTGCCTACCAACTACCTGAATAGGTTGTCATCTAGAACGACAATGGCTGAGGATTCTGTGTTCAAATTGAGAGTGAGTTGAAGATCGGAACATTTATATTGTGCTCTGGGTTCACATTCTTTCTGCCGGTCATCTTCGAAGAGCCAGATTATAGAAACAACATTATGGACGTTTTAATACTCGAATGGCTTCATTTTGATGGAATCCGATTGTAGGAGTCTACTCAGCTTTCTAATAAAGGTAATTCAGAAGAAGAATCAGATCTTTGTGAACTCTTCCTCTAATTGGTTGAAATTGAAAATCATGTTGGTGCATCTGATGCGGGGAGTTGTCAATACGGTCAATGGTGTCAATAGTGTCACGAATAAATAGGTATCTCAGTGAGTTCGAATCATAAAGGTTTTATAGATATTCATTTAACCAAATCATCCGTTGACACTGAACTGTGAATACCGACCACGGAACTTTCATGAGAAACGTCCATAAACCTATAATGAATATTGGATGTGAGGGTTCCGAAGTTAGTCTGGTCACAGGCCAACATCCGTTTGAGGCTATTCTTGACTCGACGTAATGGTCATCAAAATGTTATTCATTGTTGTTTATTACTACCCATAATATCTTATGAATTATGCCTATTAGAATATTACCTCCTGCAAACCATTAAGCCAAGCCAAACCTTGTAATATCCCTTCTTCCTACTGCAAACATCAAACTTCACTTTCACCAAAGAATGAAGATAATAGTTATCCATGAAGAAATAATCTGAAAAGAATGACATAAATGTGACCCATGGTATTTCAGAATGAATGCAGGTGAATCACCATGATTTTCAACTAATCAGAGTGTAGTTCACAAAAACCAATTAGTCATCTGAATAACTTCTTCTAGAGTAGACTCCTAAAATCAGATTTCATCAAAATAAAGCCATTTGAGTAATCAAACTTCAATAATGTTGAATGTTGCTTATACATTGGTAGATATTTTTACGTTGGCAACTTGGAGCGAAGTCTCCTATGAATGAACCATAGACTGTGGCAGATATACAGGTGGATTTATGCAGCCATACATTAGAACTCTTTCTGCTTGGCAGTTGCTTCAGTAACTCATTTTCAAATTCAATTTTCTTTCATATTATGTCAGAAAAATAAGTAGGTGCCATCTAAAAAACATTTGGTACCGAATGGGATTCACCTGCCCTTCCAGCTAACTGTTCAACAAATTTGGTGCTCTTCGCGTGATACAAAATGGCGGTAATTATTTTCATAAAAGTTGAGATAAACGAAGTTGGTGCTGACTTTTAGCACACCTTGTATGGCTGGAGGACTAGACACATTCTAGGTAGATTGGTAATGATCGATTATACCAACATACCAATTCCCAAGTTTGTACTCCAACTGCAAGTTTGACAACTTCTAATGTGATATGTGGCCTATTGTAAATCCTCCTGTATATCATATAAGGTTGGCCTGAACCAGAAAGACGAAACACTAGCACATATAAACTATATTTTCGAGGGGAGCATCGTCAGGTTATGAAATATTTTCAGCGCTGCGGCGTTGCCGCTTCTAACGAAAAGTAGTAACAACTTTGTTATTTCAAAAGGAATACCCTGTATTTCATCACATTTCTAGATTCTCGCTAAAGAGCTGATTTCATGTTCGATGTGTCACACTTGAGGTCTAGCGGGGATGATTACAGAGATATAGGGTGATTACAGAGATATGGGGTGTTCAAAATCGAGATTTTTTTTACTTAAGGATATTTTTGTGTCGGAACTATTAATCATTGGTCGAAACAGCTTACGTGTTCCTATCTCAACCTCTGATTTATCTGTTGCAATCAAATGTCAGTAGATAGTAAATCAAAAGTTGGAGCAGAAACATGGAAGCCGTTTTGACCAATAATGAATAGTTTCAACACAAAACATCCTGAAGTTGAAGAATCCCAATTTGAGCACCCTATATCTCTGTAATCATTTTCGCTAGACCTAAAGTGTAGGGAAATCAACTCTTCTGGGAGAATCCAAAAACGCAGTGAAATTCAGGGTATTCCATTTGAAATAACAGAGTTGTTGCTACTTTTCGATAGAAGCGGCAACGTCGCAGCGCTGAAAATATTTTAGAACGATGTCTCCCTTGAAAATGTAGTTGATGTGTTCCAGTGTTTTCTCATAATCCGGTTCTGGCGACCTACAGAGCCGCTGTTTCATTTTCAATGGGCCACTATGTATAATAATATGCACATGTACCATGTACATTTTATATTTTGCAACATCATCGTTCTATATTCGGAACATAGTGATATATCATTGGAACATATAGTCAATAAACAGGCATGTAACAGATAAGCAATTTGACAACCTCTAAAAGAAGGATCCACCGATATTTTTCATAAGTTCAACTGTTTGCGAATACATTCGTTAAAAAAAAGGGGACAGAAATCAATAAATTGTCGAATTACAAGATCAGAACAATTGCAAGATCAATTTATATATCAATGCTAAAGTTTGATACACTTACCGCCAAAAATTTGCGAAATTAATCGCCTCTAACTTTCTTAATTTTTGTCCGATTCTGATTGAATTTCGACCAGATCGTAGATTCATGTTACTGAGTGTTCGCCTGAATTTCAGTTCTCGAAAATAGCTGACGGCTTGATCAATATACAGTGAAAAACAAATATTACTCTTTCACGCTTAACTTCTAAAAGCTCTGTGGCAAAAATATCGATTTTAAAATATTCATTAACAATAAGTTAGAACCATTTCCCCTACTGCTTGATCATGTTTTGGATTGAAGTGAGCTTATTTTCCCTTCTCAACTCAATGGTTCTTGATTAACGTCAATATATTCTCTTTGAGATAATATACAAGTGTTTTAGGAGAATATGGAGTTTTGAAATATTTCCTCAAAACACGTGTTTCTTCTCTTAACAAAAAGATGTTGACGTGAATCATTAACCATCATGTTGAAAATGAGAAAAAAACACTTCAATCTCAAACGACATGATGAAGCTAAGTTCAATCACTCACATTTACCAAAAGGCGTTTAGAAGTTAAGTGTGAAATAATAACTTTGGTTCTTCCTTGTACACTATTCAGCTTTTTTTGGGTACTAAGATTCAGGTTAACATTTCGAAGCATGAATCTACGAATTGGCCATGATTTCACCAAAATCTAAAGATAATCTAATAAGTTACAGGGTGATCAGTTTGGCAAAATTTTTTGGTGACCGGTTTCTTCTATCGGTGAGTGTATAGTTGACAGGATAATTTTTCAGCCTTTCCAAGTTACTTTCGTAAAAACAAAGAATACAGAAGTAAACTATAAGATGAGTCCATCGTTCATTTATCGACTTCTGAGAAGTCTCACCGCCTGCTTGATTATTTCGGTAAGAGCTTGCTTCTTATTACCTGTCAGCAGCCTGCAACCGTTGTTTGACGGTGCGAAAGCAAAACACGCATCTTCTGTCGCTAGTATCGCTGAAGCCAAAATCGCTCAGCATAAAAAACCCCGTGCTGCCAACTCAGCCATTTATTTTTATGGCTAGTTCTATCCATTTTTAAACTCATATAGCTACAAAAAATTACATCTAGCCATTAAACCATTATTTTCAGGTATTTTTGATTCTAAAAAACATTTTGCCAGCGGCGCGTTCTCACTTTCAGTCATATTTTAGCCTGTTTTTGAATGTTGGCTACACTGAAAAATCTAGCGTGATGCTCACTGCTACTGCTGCTGTTATGTGAAATAGGTTTGAGGAAACCTTAACAGAAAGAATTTGTGCATAGCTGGGTAGCCTTTTAGTTGATTAGTTCAGGTTACCACTCTGTCCAAATTAAAAACTAAGACATGAAATTGAAAAGACTGCCAATGGCAAAAAAAATAATTTATTTTGATCCTTCAAAGCCTGATTCTGCTTTCATATTCTTGTCGGTAGAGGATTAATTTTAAACAAGTCAGTACTATAGTAAATTATACTCATCGAAATTTTTTTCACAGAACAGAATGATGAATAGTTTCTACACAAAAATTCCTGAAGTTGAGAAATCTCGATTGTGAACACACTATATTTTTGAAATCACTATATTTTTGAAATCACCCCCGCTAGACCCCGCAGCGCTGAAAATATTTTAGATCGACATCCTACTCGGAAATGTAGTTGACATCATGTACTAGCATTTTATTTATAATCTGGTTCTGTCGACCCACATTGAGCCGCTGTTGCGTTTTCAATGCCCCACTCTGTAGATAGCGTGTTATTCAATGACATCAAATCTCAATTATTTTGCTTCTTTGATTCACCCAGTATCGAAATCCAAGGAGTAAATATTCAAATACTCATTTCATCATTATACCTTCTGCAGGAAGATGTTTCTAGGTCAGTCTAGCTCCAGTCAATCAGAAATCAATGAAAATATGAGATAATAGTTTACCTAACAAGTGCGGAAAGTAATGCGTTTTCGCATGCGATTGCGCTAAGCGTCGTTCGGCCAGCAATCGCGTGCAGAAACGAAATCATCTTTTCCGCCCTAGTGTGGAAAAATGTGCGGAAAAGTGGACTTTTCTGCATGCTAGTAGAAAAATAAACAGTGAG